AGAGAGCGGCCTGGAGTCGGCCGAGGCCGGCTGGGCCCGCGGGGAGGCCGGCCCGCGCCCCCTGAACGATGGACACCAGGTGAGCCCCCCTCCCCCGCCCCGGCAGGGTACAGCGGGAGGCCCGCCCGGGGAGGAGCCACGGTCCACGCCAGGGATTTGGGGGATCGCAGTCCTCAGCAGCCACGGAGGGGAAGGCGCGGAGGGGGGAGGGGGCTGCCCATTCCAGAGGATGCCTGAAGGAAGTTCCGGGACCCTCCCTGCTCTCGGCCCTCCTCCACTTCCTGCCTCATGCCTCACCTTGTCCCTGGTACCTGGATTCTGTTCAGCTGCTTGGGAAATGTGACCTTTACTCTGGGGGGCCTGAGCCTGCAGCCCCAGCCACCTTTTCTCCCTGGGGCCCTCCTTAAGCCTCTTACTCGACCCTTCCCCGGTCCAGACTCTGGAAACTGGTTCCTGGGACCGTGCCCTGGGCACAAGTGGGCACTTGCCCCAGCCCCACCTGTGCCCGGGGCTGTGGCCCTTCCCCACAGGGAGCTCACCATGGCCCCGCCACTCCTATTGCTGCTGCTGGCCAGTGGAGCCGCCGCCTGCCCGCTGCCCTGCGTGTGCCAGAACCTGTCGGAGTCGCTCAGCACCCTCTGTGCCCACCGAGGCCTGCTGTTTGTGCCACCCAACGTGGACCGGCGCACGGTGGAACTGCGCCTGGCTGACAACTTCATCCAGGCCCTGGGACCGCCCGACTTCCGCAACATGACAGGGCTGGTGGACCTGACGCTGTCCCGAAACGCCATCACCCGCATTGGGGCCCGCGCCTTTGGGGACCTGGAGAGCCTGCGCTCCTTGCATCTGGATGGCAACAGGCTGGTGGAGCTGGGCAGCGGCAGCCTCCGGGGGCCTGTCAACCTGCAGCACCTCATCCTCAGTGGCAACCAGCTGGGCCGCATCGCGCCAGGGGCCTTCGATGACTTCCTCGACAGCCTGGAGGACCTGGATGTGTCCTATAACAACCTCCGTCAGGTCCCCTGGGCCGGCATCGGTGCCATGCCTGCCCTGCACACCCTTAACCTGGACCATAACCTCATCGACGCACTGCCCCCAGGTGTCTTTGCCCAGCTCAGCCAGCTCTCCCGCCTTGACCTCACCTCCAACCGCCTGGCCACGCTGGCACCTGACCCACTCTTCTCCCGAGGTCGGGATGCGGAGGCCTCCCCGTCCCCCCTGGTGCTGAGCTTCAGCGGGAACCCACTGCACTGTAACTGTGAGCTGCTCTGGCTGAGGCGGCTGGCCCGGCCTGACGACCTGGAAACCTGCGCTTCGCCACCACCCTTGGCGGGCCGCTACTTCTGGGCAGTGCCTGAGGGAGAGTTCTCCTGCGAGCCTCCACTGATTGCCCGCCACACACAGCGCCTGTGGGTGCTGGAGGGCCAGCGGGCTACTCTGAGGTGCAGGGCCCTTGGTGACCCTGTGCCCACCATGCACTGGGTTGGCCCTGACGACCGGCTGGTTGGCAACTCTTCCCGAGCCTGGGCTTTCCCCAACGGCACCCTAGAGATTGGGGTGACAGGCGCTGGCGATGCAGGAGCCTATACCTGCATTGCCACCAACCCCGCTGGTGAGGCCACAGCCCGGGTGGAGCTGCGGGTGCTGGCCTTGCCCCATGGTGGAAACACCAGTGCTGAGGGGGGCCGTCCTGGGCCCTCGGACATTGCTGCTTCTGCTAGAACTGCTGCCGAAGGCGAGGGGACTTTAGAGTCTGAGCCAGTGGTGCAAGTGACGGAGGTGACTGCCACCTCTGGCCTGGTGAGCTGGGGCCCGGGGCGGCCATCTGACCCCGTGTGGATGTTCCAAATCCAGTACAACAGCAGCGAGGACGAGACCCTCATCTACCGGTGAGGATGGGCCCTGCACGTGCCCTTCAGCCTGCTTTGTTCACTAGGCCTCCCTGCTGGCCCTGTGTCCCCAAGTCCTACCTGTCCCCCCCCAGGCTTGTGCCTGCCCTCCTTCTAAACTTCTAAACTCTCGGAGCATGGCTGAGCCGGCTGCCTGGGGCAGAGGAAGGGGGTCTCAGGTGTGGCTGTGTGTGCCAGCCTTCCTGACCATCAGTAATGGCAGCGTGGGTGTCTGCTGAAGCACCTGCCCCCCGCCCTCGGGTATTTCTGTCTCTGCTTGGTGCCACCCCACCCAGCTCCTGTGCCCGAGGCCTGTCAGTGCATACACCTGTCTGTGCGCCGACACTATCCTACATACGGATGCCTGTCATCGGCTGCCTTCTGGGGGAGCACAGGCCTGTGTGTGTTGACAGGGCCTTTCAGGCCTGAGGGGCTGTCTAGGGCAAACACGAGAGATGGGAATGGGGGCTGTACCCCACCCGGGGGCTCTGACCACCTGCCCTTGCCTGCAGGATCGTACCAGCCTCCAGTCACCACTTCCTGCTGAAGCATCTGGTTCCTGGTGCCGACTACGACCTCTGCCTGCTGGCCCTGTCACCTGCTGCTGGGCCTTCCGACCTCACGGCCACCAGACTGCTGGGCTGTGCCCACTTCTCCACGCTACCAGCCACACCCCTGTGCCATGCCCTACAGGCCCATGTGCTGGGCGGGACCCTGACTGTGGCAGTAGGTGGCGTCCTAGTGGCCGCCTTACTGGTCTTCACTGTGGCCTTGCTGGTTCGGGGCCGGGGAGCTGGGAATGGCCGCCTGCCACTCAAACTTAGCCATGTCCAATCCCAGACCAATGGTGGCACCAGCCCCATGCCCAAGAGCCACCCACCACGGAGCCCTCCACCCCGTCCCCAGCGCAGCTGTTCCCTGGACCTGGGAGACACTGGTGGGTGCTACGGGTATGCCAGACGCCTGGGAGGGGCCTGGGCCCGGCGGAGTCACTCTGTACATGGGGGGCTGCTGGGAGCTGGGTGCCGGGGTCTGGGGGGCAGTACAGAGCGGCTGGAGGAGAGTGTGGTGTGACAGGAGGCCAGCCTCTCCGTGCCCTGAGGAAGGAGCAGTGCCACTGCGGGGCCCAGGTGGCAGCACCCAGCCTGGGTGGGCAGCACGGCCCTGGGCCCCGCTCTGCTTTTTCTCCTCAGTACCTCAGGCTCCCCAGGTACTTGGTGGGACAGCAAGCCCTTTCCTTGGTTTTGGCCTCCAGACTAAAGGGACAGGTCCCACCAACAGGTGCTCAGAGCCACCAAGGCAGGGGCTGCAGCCACCAAGAGGGAGTCTTGTTTCTATTTATAATAAAATTGTTGGGGACACTTCAGTGTAGGTCTTCGGTCTCATTCTGCCTGGTCCCTGGGAGGGAGGGAGGGAGGGAGGGAGGGAGGGAGGCAGGCAGGGAGGGAGGCAGGGAGGGAGGTTGGGAGGTTGTTAGAAGCACACAGACCAGTGTGTCCAGGACTCGCAGCCAGCCTATAGGGAAGCCCAGGGCAGCAGTCAAGAGCTGGTGTCTGCTGGCCCTGCCAGAAGGCAGGCATGAGTCCAGGACCATCAGGAAGGTCCTGTGTGAGATGGCACCACCCAGCTGTTCCAAGATACACAGCTGTGTGCTGGGCTTTCCTGGAAAGCTGGCTTTGACCTGCTGCAGCCTGTTGATATCAAGCTGCTTTGGCCCTCCCACACTGTTCAGATGGGCCCTGTACAGGCACCTACGTGCTCAATGAAAGTCAGAAGTAGACACTGGTATTCCAGACCCACCAAGCAGCCTGAGGAACAGTCTGCTGTGTCCACAGTGTGCAGCCAAGCTTACACACACCCAGCCTCCTGGCACCAAAACATCCCTGGACATGACCCAGAGAAATGCTGGTTTAAGGTCCTTGAGGGAAATAAGAGGGGAGACGTAGGAGAGGCAGACATAAGGTAGGATGTACACAGGGAGGGGACAGACAGGCCCCAGGTCCTGCTGCTGTTCTGTGGTCATGGGCCCTGCTGTCCCTGCTCTCATCCTTGGAGAGGATGCTGGGATCTTGAGTGCACTGGGATATAGGACAGGGATGTAAGGTTGTGTGGCTCAGGGTACCTGGCGCTAAGGGTGGAAAACAAGCAGAGCTATCAGGGCACAGCCTCAAACCTGGGGACAGCCCAGTGTATACCCAACAACCACTCCCGTCCCTGGTCTGCCACAAGAAAGGCCCCAGAGCGTGAGCCAGTGACTCTAGGATGAAGGGAGCTGATATTACAGCATACCCCTGCCCCCAGGGTGACATGGACCTCAACAGAGCCTGTGAGCTCTGAACAGCAGAATGCAGACCCTAACCTCTAGAAAAACACTGACTGCTCCTAAGATGGGCTGTGGGGGACAGGCTCAAAACATCCCTTCTTCCCACAAGGTTTTCCAAAAGGTCTTTAAGCCCACTATGTCCCTGACAGGACCTGTGAACAGTGAGAAGGATGACTGGCCATCGGGGACAGCACTGTCACAGTGGGCCACCAAGCTTTAACAGCAATCAAGAGCCGGAAGAGGTCACAAATAGGAGGTCAGCACCAGCACTGCCCACATGGCCAGAGCACCTCTGGGGGCCTCTGGAGGAGGAGAGAGAACTCAACGGGCTGGGGGCCTGAGCCCCTGCCCAGGGCGCCCCACAGAACACTCCAGCAGGTGCTGGCTTCAAAGGACAGCGGTATTTCTCGGCTGTGATGAGTCTTTAGCTGCGGAAACTAGTTAGAGACGGAGCCCCACAAGGAGGCCCTTGCTGTCAGGCGGCCACTGTGGCCAGAGCCCGGTCCCTCAGGGCTGCAGCTCTCGCCCAGGGACCCATGCTTACACAGAGACCCAGCAGGGTCCAGGCACCAGCAGTCTGAGAACAGCCCGGAGAGGTTACTGCGTCACGGAGGCTAAGAGCCACCTCGATAAAGCAAGGCAAGGACAAAGCGGGCCACACACCTGGTGTGTGACCAAATGGACCCACCGTGGGCAAAGGCAGGGAAGGCGCGGCCTCTCACCTTCACGCCTCGGACCCGGAACTCAGCCAGGGCCCTGCTCATCTTGGTGGCAGCCGTGGGGTGGTCTTTGCCGTGGGCAATGACTTTGACAAGCAGCGAGTCATAGTGGGGCGATATGACAGCCCCCTGGAAGGCAGAGGCGTTGTCCAGGCGGATGCCCATGCCCTCGCCACTCCGGAAGACCTGTCACCAGAGGGAAGCACAAGTCAGCAGCTGGACGGAAACTGGGGTAAACTGGGCTCCCCGCGTGGCTGAGCTCACGGCTACCCAGAGCCCAACCTTGACCACAAGTTTCTTTCTACTCGGCCAACAGCCCCAGGCCGCAGCCCTTCTGAGTCCATGCGTTCACTCCGGCGCTGCAGCCAGGCCGGACGGAGGAGGAAACGCCCTGAAGGGCTCCTGGTTCATGCACAGCTCAGCCTGCAGCCCAGGTGGGAAGGAAGGGGCCACCTCCCACTGACCTTCCACCACCTGCCCGGCCACTCCCTCCTTGCAGACCCAGTCTCTGTCCACCATCATTCCAGGAGCAGCACGCAATGCCCACTGCCGGCTACTCGCTGGGGATGAAGCTGCTAAAGCAATCCCTGACCAGACAGCCCCGGGACAGACAGAAGTACAGACCACAGGACCACAAGCAAGAAAAGGAGACGGGCAGGCTGACCGAGGAAGGCTTCGGTTGGTTCATTTTCCGATTTTGAAACACCACTATGTAGCCCAGGCCAGCCTGAATTTAAAACGTAGCCTAGGTTGGCCTTGAACTCATGATGACTCTCCTGCCTCAGCCTTCTGAGTGCCAGAATCACAGGTGTGCACCATCATGCCCAACTTGGTTTGTTGTTCTGTTGTTTTTAGGGTGGGGGGAGGCCTCCATATCGACTCACATTCCCTCTTCCCAAAGGAGGGTGGGAGAAGGAGCAGAGAGGAAGGAAGGAGCCGTGGAGACGGACACACAGGGAAGGAAACACACCTGAGCTCGTCCAGGAAACACGAGAGAGACATGCAGAGGGGAATGGCAGACACAGGTGGGTCGGGTTTCTGGGGCAGCTACACTTGCACACACAGGTGAGTGTTCATTCAGGACAGGCAGGGGACAGGTGGGGGAGAAATCGAGGGAGAGAGGAGGCCAGAGGGACTGGCCTGGGAACACCCTCAGCATCACCCTTCGGCTGCTAAGGGCACAAGCTGTGTTCAATAAAGAAGAACTTCATGCAATATTTAAGGGTGGACACTCAGCTGTGTGCAGGAACCACCAGCTAAAAATACCTTGTGGTGACCGGCTCTAAAGCCAGCCCTGGCCGTGGAGGTGGAGGTGGAGAGGAACCAGCCCAGCAGCCGCTTCTGAGCCCCAGGCCATCAGCTGCCCCTTCCCAGACAAGGGCAAAAGAGCTAGGACTATAAGGCAGCACCAGCCCAGGGATGCCCCACCTGGGGACTCAGAAATGAGTGTGGGTGGTCATCTATGGTGGCCCTTGGGCTCTCAAGGCCATCAGAACTGACCTAGCACCCCAGCCCTGCTCCACACTCCACCATACTACTTTTGGACATTTTTGCAGTTCTGGAGTCCAGCTCATGCTCATTGTTGCTGCCCTCGTACCCTGGATACCAGTGCTAACCCTGAGTGCCTCCGGTGTCCTGTATCTGCAGGGAGTGCTGCTGACATGCAGGGAGAGGGAGCAGGCTGGAGCCACAGACAGGGAATGCAAGGGACAGGCAACAGAGCCCAAATGCTCCAACCCTGATGGGAAAATGGGCAGAGCTGAGGTGAACTTCTCAGGCCCTCAGTGCTGCCCTCCAGAGAACTCTTGCTGACTCCCAAGGGGCCTTCTGTTTGACTCACCCTGCTACAGAGATCCCAACCCCCTGCTCCCCACAGGTCCTGCCTTGCCAGCCACCCCTCATACCTGATAGAAGGCAGGATAGAGACCAGCGGGGCATCAGGGCCAAGGCTTCACATCTGGGGGCCCACAGCTGTCCCCTAAGCTGGTCTGCCCCCATTCCCAGAATGGCTTTCTGCTGGCTTTCTGTGGAATGGTCTTCCCTTACTCTAGGACAGTCCTGGGCTCCCACGTGCTCTAAGCAGCTGCACCTGGACCCCTGGGTCATAACCTGGGCACCGTGGGAGGCTGTGAAGAATCTCAACCTAGGCTGGAGCTGGGTCACACTTGCTCCGTCGCCTACCTCAATGCGGCCAGTGTCGGGCTGGAAGCTGCGTGCAGGGTCCTCAGTAGTGACTCGGCACTGAATGGCACAGCCATTGATGCGGATGTTCTCCTGCCGCAGGCCCAGGTCAGGCAGGCTCCGGCCCTCAGACACGTGGATCTGAGCATGGACCAGGTCCACGCTGCAAATGAGGAGGACACCAGGGAAGGAGGAGAATGAGGAGAAGCAGGGAGGAGGGGTCCCATAACTCACACAGGCCAATGCTGCTGCATCCTCCTCTGAGCTCAAACAGCCTGGGGGCCTCTACCTGGTGGTCCTACAGCCTGACTTGCTTGCCCAAGTCCCCTAAGAAGCTTCCAGAAGACAGATATCCACCTGCCCTTCACCCTTCTGGTGGCCTCTTCCAACAGCCCTGTCCTTTGCCTGCCCCTGCCCTAAGATCTGCAAACTCCTGCTTGCACGTGACACCAAGATGGGAAGTACAGGCAGAGGTCATGGTCACAGGGTTGGCACACCCACTCTTGGAGCATGGGGGCTGCATTGTGTATGCAGGGAGGGCAGGCCCCAATGAGAATCACAAGGCCAGGTATGTTGGTGTATGTCTGTAATCTCAGCATTGAGGTAGAGGCAGGAAGATTACAAATCCAAGGTCACCCTTGGCTATATAGCAAACTTGAGACCAATGTGGACCTCAGGAGACCCCCATCTCAAAAAAAAAAACAAATCAAAGCAAAACAGAACCAAAGCCAAACAAATAAAAACAGGGAGCTGTATTCTTTGGAGGCCTGCAAAGTTAGACATGGACAGGACACTGTGTTCCTCAGGCACACGCAGAGCAGAAGGCTCTCTGTGTTTGCATGGTTGTGTGAACCTAGCCTGAGCAACAGCCATTCCCAAGAATGGTATCCAATCTAGGCCAAAGCTGTTGGCACAAGGGCCTCCAGGTGTCATACATTGGGTCTGAGGCTCACGGCCAGTACTCCACTGGCAGATTGCCCTCCATACTCCATGTCACCTGTGAACGCAGTGTGGTAATGATGGTCACCATGGCACCCTCTCTGCAGGCCACTGACCCTGCCTGCATGCTACATCTCCATGGTAGTACTCCCCCATCAGAGGAGCCTGAGGGTCAGAGAAGCCACAGCTAGCCCAGCCTGCACA